TGTATACAGAAACGAAGAAAAAAAAAAACACTAACGAAAAACAACTCAAACAAAGGGAATGTGAAAAATGATGATGGGAGCATCGAAGCGGTTGTTTTCACTCCTTCACTCTTCTTCGCTGTTCCTTCCTTGTGCCCATTCTTTTTCGCTCTCGCACTCTCTCTCTCTCTCATCAAGTGTAAATTCAACAACAAATTTAAATTTTAGATGAAGAGAAAAGATACATTTGGTTTACTTATTTTAAACGCGTTACGCGTATATTTATATACATTATTTGGTTCAAATTACACGCGCGCAAAATGCACAATACAATTCGAGCCCTCGGTATTTTGGGATGCCATTTCACAATTTTTCAACTAAAATACCATTGATGCTGTCATGTTTTCGGTTTTTTTCGAAACAAAAATTATATAATTGCACAGTCACATTTGACGGGCCAAATAGACAAGGCATTTTTGCCGTAAATAAAGATCAAAAGTCTGAAACGATTTGTACGCTCTCGTAATTCGAATATTTTTGTACCGTATACATTTCGAAATATTTCACCATTCGTCGCCTGAATCCTATACTTGCTTAAATTTTTGAGACTAGATGTATTTGACATGAGCCTATTCACGTTGTGGTTGGCATTCATTAAATAAATTCCTTCCTCATTTCTTTGCTGAGCTATTTGACGGCAACAATTTGATGGCATATCCATCTGCATATTGTTCTGTCTGCGCCTCATCAAGTCTTTTCCACTCTCTTCGCAATTTATTCGATCCGGGTTTTTTTCCGGAGTGGGTGGTGCTGATGGTGGTTTAGGGAGCAGCTCTAATCTGTTTGACGATGGCTGCCGAAATAATTTCGTAATCAGCATCTCGAACACATAGTGAACGAGCAAGCGGGCGAGCACGCAAGCAAACCAAAACGATATGATAAAAAAATGTCCTGCGTTAGCGAATTATTCCGATGTTGATAAGAAATAAAATTTGCTTTGCAATTCCATCCAAAAAGTTGACATCTCATTTTGTGTGTGCGGGTAGAATGAAAAATCCCATAAGCCATTGCATACATAGAGACGTGCTACACTTAATTTATTCATTTATTTCGCTCTCGTTTCGCTTATTCACAATGTTCGGTTTGCTATATCGACAAATCGAAATTATGTATGGTGGAATGGACAATTGGACAATGTTGTGTGCAGTGTGCTCGCACGAGAGCTTCCAAGGCGTGTACATCATGCGTGTGCAAGGACAATCAAGTATTTTCCTAAATACCATTTTGATAGATTCTTGGAACTCGCTGTGGCGCTTAATTTTCATGATATTACCATGGCACAATGTTGAGTTCAAACCACCGACAGAGGAATTTATTTATGCGTCAGCATTTTTTTCTTCTTCATTCGGTTGCCATTGCTGCTTGCCTCGCTCTACGTTCTTTCTATTCACTTACTGGCTGACGAGAAAACGCGAAAAAGCACAACCAACCAGCATGTTATGTATATGCACGCAGTACTCACTTGCTCTCGGTTGCCGCACATACACTCCGTACTCATACTATTTGCTCATATTGAAATCAATAAACTAAAGAATCCAATAATGCCATATCCATAATGCGATAAAATAATAACTTTGCAAAAGGACGTTGTCGTTATCGTTATCGTTGTTGTTGTTGTCGACGATGTCGTTGTCGCATCCACATCGCACACATAACCAAATGAAATATAATCGATGGAAAATGGGGAAGCAGAAAAAAAATATTTCGAGGCAAAGTGGTTCGTGACAATAATACTGAAAACAATGCAAAATGATTTTTTTTCTTTCAAGTATCACATCGCATGCAAGAGACAACGTGAGCCAACAACCACCATTCCTACCACCGCCACCATTGCCACCACCACAACCATCATCATCGCAAAGAGACAGAAAAGTCGTGCGAATCAGAACAGTCTTTTTCGACAAGTTTTCTGTAGCTTTTTTCAAAGTTTTGCTCTCAGAGTTTCATGTCAGATTTCATTTCTGGCACGTTTTTATTTTCCTTCGCTTCTTCGTGGTTCCGTACGAGAAAGAAAAAAAAACTCGCATCTCTGAGTGACAGGATTTGCGATGTCAGTCGTTTCCCTTTCATCATAAAAGCCTGTGCACTGACTCAATGCGAACTGATACCGACTGAATGTGTGCATGTGTGTTGTTGTCGGCATGTATGGATTTGTCGTCTATATGTATGTTGACGTTTATTTATATGTTGAGTGTCATTCACATTGTTGTGCACAGCGAACAACACATCGGAACATGTGCACATGTCGTGTAATACCTGACGATGTAAAGTATCACTTGAAATTTTATTGCCCACTTTTTTCCCGCATCACTCGCTCTTTCTCGCTCCCTTCCTTCAATTCAATTTGGCGTATAGTACACTCTGCGTTATAAAAAAAACTTTATTCTGTGGCTGCTTTGAATAAAATCATCGTGTGTTTGCCTGTGTTTTTTAAGCTAAATGATTTGATTGACTCTGCTTTTTCAATCATTCCATTTGGTTCGTTGCATTTTATCGAGTTTATGCTCTTATTTTATTTACTGGTACTTCAGTCAATGAGATTTGCGTTGTAATAATAATTTTGTTGTGAAACAAACAAATGCGAATTTTGTTTTACAATGATTTTGCCTGTAGCTCAACGAGAAGAAAGTTTACTGTTTCTGTTTGTATATATAAGAAGTCAGATTCTTCCATTTTTTCTTCTTCTACAGCTGTAGAAGCTTCTTCTACCTGTAGGTAAACGCTCCTTTGGCGAACTGTAAGACATTGCTGTTCAAAGCCATTTAACATCTATTAAATGAACCGGATGAGGGCGAATAAATAAATAAGTCGACATTTGGGAAACACGACACTTTTGATCGTATGTTTTTGTGTTTCACTTGAATCTTCTTCATCTTCTTCTTACAAGGTCTATTTTAGGTGAAATTATATTGATTTTTGCGCCAGCAGTTCAATGAATTGTTCACAAAATTCAAATGCTAATAAAATAATGGCACAGCTAAGCAAACACACGGTTAACTCATGAATGAATGAACAATCAAACAAATGAATGAACGCAGTCAACATTGCATGGCCTGAAATTGAATTTTCAATTTGAATACGGATGTTGTGTTTAGGCGTGAAAGATTAATTCTCCGAAATGCACTTCATTTAAAAGCAGGCAAACACATTAAATTGCGAAATATTTGTTTGCCAGCGCATTGGGTTTTTTGGTTTTATGTTACACGTTCAAATGTTAAGTAACATCCCAATGTGCATACTTTAAAAAGCCGAAACAAAGTTCAAAATTGATTAAATAGTTGCAATACGCATCCATACAATGGTTCGTTTTTAATCTAAAATTTGAACTGAATTCGGAATATCGATTGAAATTCAAAACCGACGGAATTTGGCATTTGATAGAAATGTTATTTACTTCCAGTTATTTGTGGCATGCAAATGCTCTCCCTCCCTATGACTCGCCCATTCTACCGTTTTGTCTCTCTATTTCTCTTCCTTTCTCTCTCTGTCTCTCTCTCTCTTTCTCTCTTTTGTTTGTTCGCTGGGAAGTTTTGTGGTTAATTAGCCAGAAAACGTTTTCAAATGACGTGAAAGCTTTGTAGACGATTTGTAAATATTTGCCGTTATTTCAACCACTCAGTCGTTCTCTCTCGACTCTCTTCCTCTCTGCTCACTCTCTTTCGTTCCATATGTATCATTGAAACCCTAAAATTGCAATCGAATTTGCATTTCATTCAACTGCCACAAAAGACAAAACAGTTGAGCAATTCCGTTTGCCTTTGCTGCGAGTGAATACATAAACAAAATATTCAAGTTCGGTCGATTCGAGGAAATGCTACTTCTGGGAGCTTTTCTTTCGTATAATTAATAGCATTCAATTTGCAAGAATGAAATACGTGCGCTGCCTCAATAGTCATTAAATAAAGGCGAGTGCTGTGGAACAACAGCCATTTTGCCTCTGCTGTTACAACTTCGAATCGTACACACAACAAAATCGCACTCACAGTGTGAGAGTTCCGAGCCGCAGAAAACTAAATTGAAAACCTTATCCTGGACAAATGGTGTGTAATAGAAATAAACGAAAATCAAAGAAAAAAAAAACAAAAGTTCCAATTGCTGGGTTATCGTTATTTGCGCCCTTTTACGCGTATAGCCTCTATACATGCTATTTCAAACGATCAGATTCAAGAAATTAACTACACATGCTGCCAATCAAACTGACTGCACATCTCGATGTTTATTATTCAATGTGTAGAATGAGAATGAGAGAGAAAAAGTAAAGAGTAGATAATACTCAATCAATTGGATTGTTCCAGTCAAAATCAAAATTGTGGATGCCTTGTGCCAGCCAATTGAACCGCATACTTTGCCATTGATTATGAATCAAAATAAAATATGCACACATACCATTTACATTCAGCTATTGAAACTGTGAGAATATTGAATCAACGAATTTCAATTCATTTGGAAAATGAAGCGTCAATTGCTCATATAAATACATGCTGTGCGATCTGAATTTTAACGCAGCTTAAACAAACATATTATTGCGGAAAGGGCCGTATGTCTGAACACAGACTTATAGAATCGGAATTTTCCAATGACGGTCGATTGAAGTGTATTGAGTGCAGCTCAAACCAAAAAAAAAAGAATATTGCGTGTATTAAAAAAATGACATGCTTGATACTGAATTTATACTGAAACCCATATATGTTATCAATCATTCTCACACTCATCAAAATGCTCGTCACATTCTACCATAGATTGAGAGTGATTTATGTAAGTAACAAACATTAACATGCGAAACCATTTGATGCTGCTTTGACTTTTTGTTTTAATTTCTGTCAGCTGTTGTCACTCTCTCTCTCTCTCTCTCTCTCTCTCTCTCGCGCCCGCTGTGTGTATGTATATGTGAAGAGCAGATATTAGCTCTCTAGCCACTTTGTATTCGAAGCGGTTTTCAAAATTGAAACCCAAGCTGCTGTATAGAAAAATGTTTGAATTACAAAATCATTCTACACGCTTAACATTCACACTGGCATTGTTATTGTTTATGAGTGGTTTGTGTGTGTTTGGGGTGTAAATAAGTAAAATGGGAAAATGTGCAATGTTCTCAACGTATACAAATTATTTCTAGCCTAAAGTGGGGCAATCAATTTTCCATACAAAATGATGTTGTTTTTTAAGCCAAATTTTCCGGCAAAAAGTGTTTATTACTCTCAATGACAAGCATTTACCGAGATCATTCAACTACCAACATTTGTATTACCATTTTACCATTAACATTCCACATAAAGTTTAATCATTTAGCTCGAACATTTTTGTTGTGCACATTTTAGAATCGTAATTGTGTTTTGGAATGCGTTGTTGGCATCGAAACCGTTACAATATCCATCGAATAGCGAATCCGTGCCGATTTGTGCAAATACTAATCAACACAATTCTACATGAACTGTTTGGATATGTGTGTTTGTTTTGTGTGTGTGTGAACACTTCTCTGAACGTAATCAATAAATGCACGATCATACACACACACACACACACAATGATTATATGTTTCGAAGTGAACTAAATACTTAATCTCCAGTGTACTGTGTAGTTAGACTGTGTGTCTGTGTATGCAGATTGAACTGGTTGTTTGAGCACACCAAATAATAGGTCTCAATGAGCACTCAATTTACATTTAAGTATGTATGCCTTTTTTTATTATTAAAAGGAAGAATGAAAGGAATTACTCGAAACTCAAGTATTTTGTGATTACATCGCCTAACTGGCAATTCATTTCAGTGCTTAAAAATGGATTGCGAAGAAAAGACGATTGCTCAAATGATGCTTGTATTTGTACTTGTACTCGTGCTCGTATGATTGAATATTTGCACTTGTGTCAGCGTCAGCACCTCGGCTGCTCGAAGGCAACAGCATTATCATCATCGTCGTTGTCGTCGTCGTCGTGGCTGTGCACCACAGCAAATAAAGCACAAGCGAGCAAGCGAACGATTTACTTTGATGGAATAAATCAGGCATCGATAATAAATAGCAATTTATACCGCCCCATCAAAATGAGTAAGCACCATGAAGGCAGAGTGAATAAAGAGCACAAAGTTTTAGTGGCTGACATAAATGTTTCATCAAAAGTGTCAAAACTTTTTTATTTTTGTGGTTGTTTCTTCGTTCTTTGGTACTGTGGGTGGATTTCAAATTCATTCGTTGCAGCTGACATACATACTTATGGGCCTTCCGACTTTAAAGGTTTGCTCTTAACTTTTCCGTCTGATTCTTTTTCATTTTCTTTTTATTTTTATTTTAAGTTGATATGTACATAATATCCGTTTATTTGATTCGAAGGGGAAGTGATTTTAAATCGACGTATTTTCATACGAAACACAACCGTACCAACAAATTATACGGTACTCTACAAATATGTACTAAACAAATTGGCTGGAGTGGTGTCCTACGTGGAATTCAATGTGGCAAATTGTGTGAGTATATGGCCCACTTTAGATGAGGATTGCAAATTTGAAATTGAATAATCAAATGGTAAACCATTTTCAGGTGAGCACCGGAACGGTTGAGCTATTGTTGGGTGAAGGCGTGCGACAAGATACGGTTGTCACAGTAAATTTGCATGTAATGAATTGTGAACATCTCCATATAAATGGCCGAATACTCGGTACAGAAGCATCTGTAGCCACACAACTGGCATTCGATCCCTTTCGTGCCGAAATCTACGGTGATAAACTCTTTGAGCCAAAATCATTTGCACTCATTTATGCGCACAACGAAACTCGGTCCATGGATCGATTCTTTAAGATTGGTCAACGACAAACAAACGATACCGTACTCATGTTCGATGAAATTATTGTCAAAAATGAATTGAGCCCATTTCCACAATATGAAATCGAATACAACGAACCAAATGTGTTCATAACACAAATTGAATTCCAATTCGACGTAAGTTTTTCATTGCCCATTTATCTCTCTCTCCTCATTGTCCTGTCTCGGCAACTAAAAATGACAACCGCTGAATTATTACAACACATTGCATGCACAGATACAACGCACATTGCACAGTTACCATTAATCTAATTTGCTTCGTTTCGTTTCATTTACTACACACACACACACATAGTCGCCGACTGCAACAGCATTCTTGAACAGTTCGTTTATTCAACCGCATAGCTTCAATGCAATCGTTTATGATCTGAATCGGCCACAATTTACCGTAAATTTCAATGTTTACGGATACCGTGCCAGCGACAAACCATCACAATACAAGTCAATCCTAACATTTTAATGCATCGGCAGCCATCGAGAACAACAACGGCAGCAGAAATAAAATGGCGCGCTATCAGTGCACTATCTACATATAATGAAAACCTATGGTGAAAACAATAACAGCAAATCAGATGACAAAACGACTCACAGCCCAACCGAGAGGAATGTGCTATCCGCTTCTTTTTTTTTGTTACTAGATACAGTAAAAATTGTTTGTTAGTCGTTTTATTTTCATGAAATATCATACATTTCTACATTTTATGGCAAATTAAATGAAATTTATGTTCATTCTACAATGACGAGAAATAAAAACATGTCTATTTGGTTCTTACATTTTGCGCACACATAATTGATAAAATCTTACGGCGGCGATGGAGAGAGAATGCAATCGTTCAATGTCACCGCTATTTTTGCTCAAAAACACGAACGCTCAAATTGCACATGTATTCCGTTTGTTATGCTGCAATTTTCTCGTCAACATTCCATCAGCAAGAGATCTTTTTCGACGCGTAGAGACACGTCTCGACCCATGGTAAATTGAATATACGCTCTCTTTTTTTTTATTCTATTTGACATTTCCGTTACAAAGTGCTTTTGTACTTTGGCCGTACACAATTTTTTCAATTTGTTTTGCTCGCATTTATTATCTGTTCTAGCACGATGCTGGTTGCTGTAATGAAATCAACATCACATCACTGGGAAAATGGATGAAAAAAATATGAATGTGACGTGTGTTTTGGGCTTATACACAAATCCGACGACAGATTACAAGAGACATCTCTCAATAAATGTTTCTCTGTCTTGTTTGGACTTTTTTCTTTTTTTTTCTTCTATCTGGACTTTCTTACAGATACAAATCGCATGAAAAACTCAATACGGACTCAATCAAAATAATAACTGAAAAATAATCTACAAAGTGAGTGTCTGGCAGCCTGGTTTCGTACCCGTTTTCAATTCGATACGATTATCATCTCAATTTACATTTACAGTCAGTCCCTTTTATATATGTTATCGTTGGGTTCGAACACATACGTTGCCGTTGTTGTAGTGAACAAACATCAGTTTAATTTAATGTTTTACATAATCGTCTAAGAGCATTCATGTGAGTTTTTGTATGAAACAGAGAATTCCCATGATGAGAAACTTGTAGTGTGCATACAAGTGTTGTGTGATTATTTGCTCTGAACGTTTTCAAAAAGGCAAACCATGTCTTATCTATTTGGTGGTTCGATTTCAGTGTTAGTATTACTTCTGTGTATCATTGCTGCTGCTGCTGCCCACCAACATACCGTTGGCAGTGCGAATATATTTGGTACAGGTCGGAATTGAAAAAAAGAATAGAGAAAAGAAAAAGTGCTGCCTATTTTATGTCAAAATAAACTTTGATTAGATCTATGTAGTTCACGTTTAGTAATTGCATTTTCATTCAATTTTCTGCTTTAAAAGGCGATGTACTCCAAAAGACCGATCTATTCAAAAAGAATTCAGTCATCCAAACCAACTATACCATTCGATTCAAATATGTTGACAATTTTTTTGGTGGAGCCATTTTCTTTGCCCAACTGAATGTGACTGGTGCACAAGTAAGTTTAAAATCAGGATCGTCAAATCAATGCTTTTGCCATCGAAATGCCAACCATCTACTGCGTTTCAATCGAAATTAATTTCTCTCTGTATCTATTTTGGGTCATAGAATAGTACATCGAAAATGGATTATTCAAAAGACGTTGATGTTGATATGTATAAGGATCATCAACGATATGTGGATGCAACCCTCAATGTTTTGAATGCAACAAATTTCACGTCATCCATTGAGGTTAGAGGGTTTCGAGGCATAAACATTGACGCTATGTCAATGTTTATTCGAGCCAAGGAAGTGAAACCACGTTCGTATGCATTTATTTGCACAAAAAACGATGCCAAAGCGAAGTCACAACAGACGGCTTTGATTAAATATGGTGAACGAGTGCCCGGCGATTTTCTTATTCGATACAGACTAGAACGTTCCGAACATGGAAAGCTAAGCTTCGATTTTCACGATTCATATCTAAAACTTACCTTTATTGTAGTCAATGTGGACGTACGTATATTTTAAATGAAAAGATGAGAAAAATCCAACGACTTGAAATGAAATCGATTTTTTTTTTTTTTTTTTTTTTAAATCTTTTTTTAGTCACCATGGGCTGTCACATTCAACAATAAAATAATTACAACCGAAGACCATTTCCGTGCTACCATTTATGAATTGAAACGCAACAATTTCACAGCAGAATCGTTTATTTTTGGTAGAAAAATTACTCGTTCGTAAATGTCAAATCAATATTTCGTTTCCAGCATTGACTTTTGGAAGTGGCCTTTGTGAAAAATCATTTCCGAAACATAATAATTGAATTTATGGGATTGACAGTTTTACAAAACGTATCAAATTGTTATTAAATTGTACATGGTTATCGATTAAGTATTAAATGTATAAAGTAATTTCATCGAGTTTGATTCAATATTTCAGCGTGCGATGTAATTATATTGATGTAGACGTGTCATTGTGTATATGTCTACAACAAGTATGACTGACACGCAATCAATAAATTGCTTCGAGTTCATGGGAATTCTGTCTGTGCAATATTCGTGATAAGAGTGTCAAGTAAGAGTATGACAACAAATAGAATCGGACGCAGTTCATTTTTTGACGTAAAGATTTTGACTTAAATAATATTTTCAAGGGAATCTTAATAAAGTGGATATTTCAAAGTCTAATTCAAAATAACCAATTTATAGTTTAATTCCATTCACAATATTGTGGTCTGTTGTTATTTTTGGCTAGAGTGTTGAAATATTTCATTGTGTCTGAAATTTTCGGTTGAAATGCAAACAATGTTCAAGTGGATATGTTTCATCGCACACATCTTATTGCACACGAATCATATTGAGCAATGTGTTGGTGATGCACATTCAATCACCGGTTCATTTTATAACGGCTATGATGGTATGCGTTTTGATCATATGACAGTTTGGTGCATTTACTTGATTGCAGTCTGTAAACCAAAAATATTTCAAATTTCCAGGAACTACATTCCTTGAGCGAACGCTCTTCACCCGAAATACAACAATGCCAAAATCGTATGTGGTGGGATTTAAGTATGTCAGTGATATTTTCGGTCGTGATATCTACAACGGTATAATTCACTCTGATGCACAGGTAAGTACGATTTGTCGCATTACCGAGAAATTGTCACTCGCTAAAAATGTGCAATATCAAAGTTTTACAAAGAATTTCCACTTGGATTCATTACGGAAACATTTCATTTGGTTTGATTTAAAAATACCTTCAAGATTGAATTCTTCTTATTTATTTAGAATACTTGGGGAGGTGGTGATTTGGGCACTGTAATCGACATTCATGACACCCGCTATTTAAATGCCAACATTCATATTCCAAATGCAACGAAATTTGAGGTTGATATTCAACTGAAAGGAATTATGGGCATTGGGTATACAGGCATGGAGCGTTTTTTGGGAATAAATGTTATTCGACCCAGAAGCTATGCATTAATTTGCGCTATCAACGAAAAAAAATCGCACACAAAATACCGAGAACTGGTGTTTGGCGAACGCAAAGATGGAGATGCGGTTTTATATGCTCGAGCTGAAAGTTTTGCGTCGTCGAATAGCGAATTACCGCGACACAACATCGAGTTTGAAGATAACAGTGCAATCCTAACTGCGGCGTCGATTAGATTGAACGTAAGTATAATTTATGTGTTGCAACAAATTAATTCACACTTTTGCTGCTGGCACAATATAAACTGATTGTGTGTCATATGAATTGACGTGATGTTATGGGTTCTTTCTATTTTCTCAGTCGACAGCAGCTATAGTTTTTCACAACAAAGTTCAACTGACGGCGCATCGTTTCTCAGCTACAGTTTATGCGCTCAATCGTGATACAATCGCTGACGTTGTTATTATTTATGGCCATCGAACCTACTAATTCAATTTATGGACTTATTAATTTGTTATAATCAAAAAAGACTTATTGTTAGTTCTGTGTCCCTTTGTGGTGGCTTAAATGTGTTCATAAGCATAAAAATAAATAAATTCAAGCACAAATCACATTTTAATGACCGAATTTTTCCGCATTTGAAGACTTGTACAATTTAATTGGGACGCGCACAGACAATTTTCCTGCTGCAATTCAAAAGTGCTTCACCGAAAATTAATTCTTTAATAAAAACTTTCCCACTTGTGCACTTGTGCCGAATATTAATGACGACGACGATGACGACGACGACAACAACAATAAGAATGAAAGCGATGGCAACGCAAAAATTCACAAGATATTCATCACACAAAACAAGTCTCTTCCATCGGACAGCTACACAACACAGGAAGATAAAACGGAGCACAAGTTAAAAACCGATGTAGTGTTGAACATTTAAAATGGGATGTCTGCTGCTTGGTTCGAAATACACAAACTTGAACATTGAATAATGACCAAAAATTGGAACATGCTGCGTTGACATCAGTCTTTTATCCCATACAACATGCAAAAACCGTCTGCATGCCTGAAACATCATATTGAAAATACACACATTTTCCAATCCACTGTGTGAAATGGACGTCATTTGTTTCGCCCGAATGGAAATGACAAACTTGAATCGTCTATTAATAAGCTCTTTTCGTGTGGCTTAAATGCAAATAATCATAATGGTAGCAACTCACTGATGTCTAAGTAAGTGTGTATGACAACCGGGGACCAGCAGCATTGTCGTCACTTCAAGGAGGTTGTTTCCGAACGACACACAGACACAGACAAGAACGAAGCCGAAGAATTCAAACAAATAACAAAATGTAATGACTTCGTTTTTGCTGGTATCGAACGCATCGGAATTTCGGTTAGAGACACAATTTTTCGGAGTAAATACAGGCACACAAAAAACCCCTCTTTTTAGCAAGTGGCAACACAAAGCATCGCCTGCCGTGAATTTGAAATTGATCGAGGCAAAGTAAAATTTGATTAGAATTGATAACAGTAAAAAGTTGTTTCCCCAATTTTTTAATTAAAAATCTAAATTGACTAAAATTATGGGATAATTGCTCACACGCAGACACAAAACAAATTCTTTCTGCGGAGGCCAGGAGTAAAAATTTAATTTAACAAGTTTTTAAAATTGTATTTGGCGCGCGCTAGCACACATGTTCCTGAATGCCGAGATAATTGAAGCGCAGGCACTGTTATTTGTGTGCTGCCATTTTAATTATATCGCTACGCCAAGTGCCATTCATGTCATGAGCATATAGCGTATACAAATATTTAATCATTTTCCCCAGTTGTACAGCGAATTTCCACGCCAATTTGTGCAAACAAGAGAATTTTTTCCGTCATTGCCCTAGGTCATGGCACTGGTGTGCTGATGGCGAGAAAATATTGTTATTGATTTTTTTTTTCGCTCGAAATGAAAAACATGTCTATGAGAATAATAATGAAGCCAAATTGAATGCTATGAGTCTTGATTTTTCGTTTGTTTGTTCATTATCACACTATAATGTTGATGATGATGCATTTGCGTTGGAAAAATTGTACAACTTTGTCCATAAAATCATGGGTGTGTTACAATCAAGGGTCGGCGAGCACATCATGAACAATCATTTCATTTAATTTTTGTTGAGAGCCATCCAAGCTCATACTCCACATTTGTGATAATACAGTTCAAGAGAGGGATTCTACTTTGATTTTTACTTATTTTTTTCACATCATTTTTCATGGAATTTCCTTCGTTTGAAAAAGAGATAAATTGCCAATATTTCTCGCAAAATGTTCTGTGTACTTCAGCAAAACAAGTGTAAGAGACTTATGTGAACAATTCAACGAATCGTCATTATCTTTCGATTCAGTCGGTGAACTCATGTGTACAAATTCCGTTTCGGTTTGATCCTCTCTCTCTCTCTCTTTCTCTTTCTCGATCTAGACGCTGTGAATCAAAACAGAAAATAAAGTTACTTACTCAGCGTAACATTGTATGTTTTTTGCAAGTCCACCTGACCGCGCAATGCTCGTAATCGTCTTAATTTTGATTCTTGTGCTTCGACACGTTCCCGCAACCGTCGCAATCGTTCACCTTCAGCCGCTGCGGTGGCATTACGAATCTCTTGGTTCTTTAAAAATCGTAGACGTTGTTCTTTGGCTGCTAATAATTGATGTTGTGTATCGATTTGTTGCTGTTGACGCAACGCCATTGCCTTCAATTCGGCAGTATTTGGCCGTCCTGGCGCTGTCTGCAAAAACCACCATGAAAAGAAAAACAACAAACTGTTAGTGAAAAAAAAAATTGCAAATTTTCTCTTTCTACATCTCAATCATTGTGAGATTGAGAACTGATTGCAGGTTACAATATATCATGATAAATGTCGATTCAAAGCTTTATTGTGTAGCAAAATTTCTTTATATCGTCTACATTTCGGAATTCAACGAATCAAATCGCATAACTCAAGAAAATAAAGTATATACAAACAACTGAACTTTATTGCTCGGAAAAAAATAGCGATGAAAACGATAAAATAACAATGTAAAACTTTTCAAATTCAATCTTCCATTTCTTTACACTTAGTGCCAATACTTTTTTACGTTTTTCCTTTTCCCCTCTTTCACTGTCGCTCGCACGTGCTGTTTTCAGTGTGTCGAGAAAAAAAAAATGTGGAGCAGAAATAACTGTACGTTATCGCCTTTAAAGTCAAAAGCCGATAGATTTACATAACAAATTTGTTTATAATAACAAATCGAAAAAAAGTTTTTTATGCTAACGTTATTTTAAGCACTTCAATCATTCAACCTGTTTTTTTTTTCTGGCGATGAGTTCATGGCTGTTAGAGGAGTCACGATGTATACCATTTTTTTTGATTCGTTTTACCTCTATTTCACATGCAGAAATGTACAATCCATACAATGCATGCAAATTGGCTCAAAACATTTTTGCATATTTCTCAAGACAAAGTGCGAGATAAAGAGAGAGACAGACATGGTACAACCATTTTGCTGAGCAAAAGTCCCGATGATGCGACCATTGTACTTTAAAGCAGTGCAATTTATGTGCGAAGCTATCATATGAGCAGTATTCATATTCATTTAGCACCATTTCTTTGAGCTTTCTGTTTTTTTATTTGCAATATACCATCGATATAAGAATCAGTTCGTTTTGTCATTCGTTCCAAATAAAAGTCAAGAGAGGAAAGGCGAAGAAAAAAATCCAAAATGTCTTTAAATGGACAAAAGGGGATGTGAGTGTGTATGTTGTTCACTGGTGACAAAAGCCATTACCACAAGCAATCCAGAAGAGCCCGAGACGAAAGCAACATCTTAACTCGTACAATGAAGATCACATGCCTGAATTGCTTTTATTCGAAGAAAAAAAGCCATAGAATACAAGTCTGTGTAAACCAAATTTGGATTCGAGGGGCGGCAATAATGAAGCATTCAATGTACGTGAATTGTATATTCAGCAGTATCTTTTTCCATATTTCATGAGAAATGAGTGTGTGTGTGTGTGTGTGTGTGTTTTTGGTGTGTGTATTTATGTGCTAAACATGATGTTTTAATGCTAGCAAAGTTGGCAGTGTCGACAGCGATATGTCATGTGCAAGGAAGGGTTTTTCATCATTAAAATATGCTGTGTCATATTGTGTCACTGCCACATACACACATATGTATATGTATGAGCCAGCGCCAGAGCCAGAGCCGAGTTGGTTTTTATTATGCATTCCGTGTTTTCATAATTTTTGCTTCTTTTAATCAACTGCATTGCAGAACAACACACAATTCATATCACAAGCATGGTGTGCGAATGCGACTTTTTTTACACCTCGTTGCATTTCGAGCGACAAAATGATAAATGAATTCTGCAATTTTTTGCTCGTATGGCTATGGAAAATTGGAACGCATCAGACCAATCGGGAAAATGGAAAATTATTTTTTGCAAGATAGTGCAAACAAAAAATTACGAACAGAAAATCCACACAGGCGTGAAATAGCAAAACGAGGCTACATTGCTTTTTCTGTCCCGACTAGAACTTCAAAGAGGCCGACCATTGCAGATGAACAGAATCTTTGGTGGTGTCAATTTATCTTCGCGCTACCAAATAAAATGCGATCTATATCGAGAGAAAAAAAAAACGTAAAGAATGGAAATGCTGCCACTGATTGTATGCAAAACTCTCAATTCACCAAGGTAATATACTGATTCATGGAACAATTTTTTTTTAACACCTTTGCTACACCGCAGCAATACATCCCATTTCACTACGACCGACGACGAGATTCGAAATAGAGTTCAGTGTTTGGTTGGCAGAGGGGTGGAAAAATTGAAAAGCTGCAAAAATTCAATGAATGAAAATTGGTTGCTTGTGAAGTCACACGACATACGCAAGAAGAGAGTGAAAGAAGAAAAGCTGGCAGGATTGAGCCGAGAGTAACGTGGTACGATATTGAAAGTCATCTGGGTGTTTAACAATGTGAAATATAAGAAATACCCGACAGACGAGCACACCAAAGGGCTGAACAATATACTCACACCGATGACGCACACAACAATTTCATTATTATTATCCAGAGCAGTGAAAAAGCACTGAATACACAAGCAGCCAGCAGCCTGCGAAATGATTAGATGGATGTCGGTAGATCGACAAAACGAAGAGATAGATAGATAAGGGGAGTGAGAGAGTGCGGAAGGCAGTGGGAAAAAATGGCAAAAAATTAAACGATACTACATAAAATGTTATGATGTGCACAATTTGATAAAAATGTAGCAAGAAATGATTACGGCGCGGCTCGTATCAGCACTGACGAGAGCTGGGACCACTGACGACGTCTGAAATCAACACACACCCATACACATACACACAGACCTGACTCGTAATCAAAAATCTGTAAACTGAAAAGGTGCTTTAATAAGGTTCTGAATCTACCTATGGTCCGATTTTTGTACATGTATAATGTATATTCTATTCTAGTCAACTGTGGTAAGTAGATGGACAAAGAGGTTGGTTATTGTCGCTGCTGCTGTGCTTATCAATTTCTTTCGTTTGAATTTACGGGCCGCAACTTTGCGAGCAGAGATGGTTATTTCGATATCTCAAAATGAATGGAAGCCTAAGTCTCATATGTACATGTGGTGCTGTTGCGGTTTACCCAGCCACACAGGAGAATAATCACATCAAATGCGCTAAAGCCCACCTCTGAAACATACAGCTGCAATATAGTCGATTTGTTTTGTGAATCCCCCGTGAACTATTACACACAATGAGCCCTACATATATGCGTTTTATTAAGTTCACCGTATGTGCAGGTTTGTATTTGGCGTTTGCTACAGCATACGTTTCTCTTTTTATGGTCTTTTCCAGCACAATATGATTCCATAATTTGTAATTTCATTCAGATGTCAAAAGTATTTCCCTTCTCTGTCGCAGCAGGCATCATGATTTCAAGCGACTTCTGGTTGGCAAAAAAAAACGGAGAAAACATTTCGATTTTCATGCTCAGCACCATACGGCAAATAAGGGAATCAGCTGTCAAATTGTAAAGAAAGATCCTGATTTCGATACTATTGTGAATTGCTGGCGGCGGCGACTTTCTTTTTCAGATTAAATCACATCCGAAATACTACTTTTCAAATGGAATTCGTATCTTTCCGTTGAAATCTCATCAGTGGTCTCTCCACAAAGGTAGGAAAAAAGGTGAGTCTCTTTTTAATGCTGACTCTAATTATGATCTTTACGATGAGATATGAAAAATGTCAGGTGTGAACCGAAAGGATCCTCGTTTACAATGAACCCTTTTTCAAACTGTCCGAATGTGCTGATTTCATAAAATCAAAAATGAACATAGCACCATATTCACACCCAATTTGGTTATTCGGTTGGTAATTTATGCATTAACGCAACCAGTACTGTATTACTATTACTCGTCATATGTGACTGTCAAATTATTTCCGCTGGCATACGTGATTTGTTGCGCGGGCAATCACAAATTGACCGCTTATTCGATGGGTTTTCTTGTGTTTTGTTAAAATTCATCGACAGTCGATTAATTTAATACATCTGATGTCCAACTGATTATGGTAATTTAAACGGAAATATCAACACATCAATTAGTTGTAAAGTTTGCACTGAACTAAAAAAAATACAACGTGTGCTTTTCTGCCATAAGAACCAATGTATTTGACGTGACAGTGAATAGCGGTGGCGCCTAAATAGAATCTGCGGCAACTTTAGGAACTATCAATACTTCTTGTTGTTGCGAAATTCGTGACAACAATAAAAAGTATTGATAGTTCTTAAAAATGCCGCAAATTGCTAATACATCTTATTTAGGCGCCACCGCTATCTTGCGCCGGCCAAAAGCATAGGTTGAAAAAATAATATAACAATTTATCATCCAAAATAATACAATATGCCGTGGGATTGGGGATGCAATATTGTGGCGCCTTTAAAAATTACCCATTTTACAAAATAATGACATCATGCGTTCAATTCTGATCTTGTCATTTTTTTTTAAATCAAAGTTATAATGAATATTGAAAATATCCATCATTAGGATTTTCAAAAAAAAAAAATTACTGTAGTTTAGTTACTTTTTTCCTCATGTTCATCCATTGCACTCTATTTTTTTATGCAAAAGTTAAAAAAAAAAATCAAAATTTGAATGTTTGTTTTGTTCGGATATTGTCAATTGTCAACATGTTTTCGGTGCGCGACAAAAATATAATGAAACAATAAGCTGATGAACATGTAAAAGGGGTTTTGCAGGAATCATGCATTAATTAAATACTTATGCATTTGTGCAAATAATCCTCGGCTTGATAGAGAGAGAAAAAAAGAGAGGAAATTAAAAAAGCCAGAAAGTGCGTGTAAATGTGTTGATGTCAATGATAAAATCGGCTTCGGATGTCATCCAATTTGTGTGTACAAAATGGAAAATGGATGTCATGCATGCTTAATGTGACACTTTTTACCTTTGAATCGATAGCTGGCGTAGTACGTGGTTCGCATGTTACCACGGGTGATCGTTTTTGTGGTGCCGATGATAATGTTGGTGGTTTTGGTAATGTGCTTGTAACTGGTCGGCAAACACAGGCTAACATTTTTCGTTCGGTTTATTGTTTTTCTCTCTCGTCCAATCGATATCAAAATGTCAACTATACAAAAAAATTTCCAATGAAATTTATTATTGAATTGTCTATTATTTTTGGTCTTCAGTCGTTTTCAATCAATCATTTAGCTCTGATCTGAATTATTGATTGAGTTTTTTCTTTCACCGCTTGTTTATTGACTATGCAACGATGTCAACTATCCAATTTTCCTGCAATACATCTATGGATGATAATAATAAACACAGAAAAATGTACGCTATTAATATGATGAATATGCGTTCAATTTGTTGGCGTGCACGTGCGATACAAATTTATCAAAAAAAAAAAAAATCGTTGCCAAAGCTATTAGCCTTATTTTCTTTCTGTTGTCCTTATCGATTCTCTCATTGTTCTGTGTGATTTCGTTGTACTAAACACAACGAGGTAGACAGGGCGATTAGTAAATTATAACGGAATTAAAACACAAAGTTCATCAACAGACGATGGTTCGCTCTCTCTTTCTAATTACTCGTTATATCATCATTAGTAACAATGTAAATTGTAAGAGAAAAGTAGAGCGAAAACCATGCGTCGACCACTCAATCAATTCGCCGTAGCCGTTTCGAGGCAACAAGTGAACTCATCCGGAGAAAATTCTGCTTATGTCAATTATAATTATTATTATTATTATGAGTCATTACCACAACTCATTTTACATGAATACAAAATTCCATCACGTTCGTTCGTCGAGTTAATGTTTGGTCAATATTGGCAGAAAATGCATGCCTGCCTTTGCTTTGACCATGCCACTTGTGCGTTACTTGTTGCTTCGCATTATCAAGAGAACAATAGACGTTTGCTTACTAAGTAAAAAGTATTTAAGTAGCAATCATTTGATAGAAGTCATCTGTGATAAATCACGATAAAGCAGAGTTGTGTCTCTTAATGATGGAGATGGCTGGTGACTACGTCAAATCCAAACTAAATTAGACGATAGCTATCTTAATCAGCGATAATATAAGATTGCCAACATCAAATGTGCTCTATAGAAATGTGAATTCTTTCTTTGTATTTCGAACGAGTGACGAAGAAAAATCCGGAAATCCATTCATTTCTCAAGAAGAAAGCAATGGATTTTCTTGGCTTTAGTTCTTTAACAACAACGACGATCGAATAAGCTAGCTATTTTACGTTTTTGTAACGCTCATTTTGGTGTTTGTTTTGAAAACTAACGTTTTCTTTAGTATATAATAATAGAACCAAAGCGCTTGAGAAGTAAATATTTAATATTGTTTTTAGTTCAAACAATAGATGCGCTACTAAGCGTCTAAGTCATGGGTGTTGAATGTCATTCAATGCCACTAAGCTGTAGACATCTCTTTTCGGCTATACGGAAAACAACAGAATTAACGCTGAACATGAAAATGATATATTCAATTGTGTTTATTTCGTTAGCTTCAACTGTGCCGCTACGAGAGGTCACTTTTGTCGTTTCTTGTTATTATTTTACATGTAAAATCAATGGTATTAGACGAGGATGGTCTAAGTGGATAACGACCACTTTTTTGATACACATTCTTTCCAAGCGTGCGATCAAGTTTTCGCATACACTAATGAGCATAACCGCAAAAAACTCATCATATTCAAACATTGTTCAGTTGATTGAGTGTACCGAGTATCAAAATTCAATACTTGCGCCATGCACACTGTTGTATTTAACACGAAATTGGTTTTTGCGAAATTAATGCGATGTTGACAAGACATGGAATAAGTTGTCATTTCACTAGTTACGCCAATAACACTCGTTCGGTTGTTGAAGGGAAATGAAGCTGCCACAAAATATGATCCGGATTTTCTTTTATTCCGTAAATCGAGACGTCTTGTTTGTGACATTTATCAACGAACAAAGGGCAGTTTGTATACTTGAGCTGTTGTTGTTGTGGTTATCTGCTGTTAGATGATAGCTTGAGCTGTCGGAAGATGGTATGTAAAACACGGTCACAAAATGGATGTTGTGTGATGTATATGTCAATCTCCATGATAAGTTGAGAATTTGGTATCGAAAATAATGAAATAAATAACATAATTGACATTTGCGTCATTTTGAGTGCCATACGTTTTTCGCAAACAAGATGTGTTCCATAAATACAGAGAGAGAGAGAGAAAGAGAGAGAGAGAGAGAGAGAGTGAGGGAAGGAGAAACCTTCGGTCCCCAAAACAATCAAACGAATAAGTGCTCAGTTTGTTGGAAATACATGAAAAAATCTTATTTATCTATTTATGACTTAATCCACATTTATGCGATGGAGTGATGAAACGCCATCCAATGAAGCGAAAGCTAATAAATAGCAAATTTATCAAACCATTGGAACACCTGCCCCGGCAAAAATTATTTGTCATCAACATCTAGCGCACTATCCACCGTGCCTTTTCTTGTGGCACAATCTTCGAAGAAAACCATAATACTCGACACAATGAATATTGATGGGCCAATGGTAATCTGGCTCAATAAACTTCAAAATGAACTCGATTATAATAATCGAGAAACCAATGCCGAAGCATGCTTTCTTCCAGTTAATCATTGTGAAAGGTTGAAGGATTACCGGAGATGATATGCATTTTGAATAAATAATCTAATTGAAATGTATGTTCATATATGAGAAGAGGTGGAGCGTGGGAGAGGGAGAGACAGAGGGAAAAGGCGCTTGATACAAAATGTGCACATCTAATATATATTACAAATAAAAGAATTATGATTACAATAAGGTCAAATGTTACAGAAATTCTATTAATTTTATGTGGTTCACAATTCGATTTACTATTCAACGCTTGCGCTTATTCATGAATACTGAAGTAGACATGAGGCTATTAAAAACGAAATGAGATATTAAATCCTGAACATGACGTGAATGTAATCCGGCACATTTTGTTGTGTGTGTACAACGGAAATTTCGAAACCAAACTATCTTGCACAAGCAGAAAATGGCATAATGGGAACGAAAGTATTAACTGCAACAGTGGCAGCGGCAGTGATAGCAGCATCACGAGCATCCAACAACGTAACTAATAAATGAAAACGTTCTTTGTGTCGCAAAAATATCTACATAACATTGTATTTGATCGTACATGGCCGTGAGTTCCGTTTCAGCAACACACACACACACAAACTCAACCAGTCAGTATAATGGGCTATCGCTTCCAAACAATTTCAGCAAAAGCTCCTGTACACCACTTTCGAATTCCAGGAACTCGACGTTAATTTCGGACCAGTTGCCAAGTACTCTCGGTTTATAGTTGAAATTCAAGCTCTTGAAATTTTGCAGTTTTTTTTCGGTTGGTTTCGTTTGCTTTTTTCGCATCATAGCGTGGAATTGGTCAGGATTTTCAATCGTTTTTTTTCCCTTTAGATACACACGACGCAATATTTATCTCTATTTTATTAACATTCATAGAGATGTGACATAAAAGGCATGACACGGTGCTTTGGTCGACGCTTGTCATTTACTAACGAATACATGACCCAAATCAATTTTTATGACACCAACATCAGAACCATCGAACAGCTGAACAATGATAACGCACACAAACACAGTGCCAAACACAACATGAGATTGATATGAAGTCAATATCAGAATATTTATGATCTCAAGCCGCCCACATCATTCACTCACATAGTACAATATATATCTATGATGACAAAACTCTTATGAACGCATGCCCCAAATAAAGAGTGAACGCTTGATTCTTCCTTTATTTTTTCTCTCTTCTGGCCTAGAACCAGAAAAAAAACACACTTCATGGAAAACACAAACTAGCAGTCTAAAAGGTAAAAAAATTCGAATCCAATAAAAGATACAGACTAGAGAGGTAGAGGAGAGAGAGTGAAAGTATCATAGCAAAACATGGTGCGACATGAAAACAGCGCCGTAGCCAGAAAAAAAATTGGAGGGTGCAAAATCGAAATTTTTCTTTTGTTGCACCTTTGAAACCCGATTTTGTTGCACCTTTGAAATTTTTGGAGGGTGCAATGCACCCATTGCGCCGGCCTGGCTACGGCGCTGCATGAAAAGCAACCAAACTTGTGCAGAAAATTGTGTGTTAGGATATTATCCCGGGGATAATTTGTCTATTTCACACCACCCGCCGCCGGAACGATGTAAGTCATGTAGTACGAATTGTTCAAAGGTTCTAACCATAGTTTATAGGCCATGAAGTTTCGACTAAGAGCAACAACTAATCTGATGGATTGTTATCGATATACACTTGAAACGTGTTGATTGCATACAGCACGTATATAAAATATTCACAATTCCTTGTGTATCTATCATCGTGGCAGATCGCGCCGATGGATGAATAATGAACATATTTCATCGTTTGGATGGATGACCAAAATGTTCTATTGATATGGTGTTGGTTAAATGGCTGAAGAGAAACATGCATGCACAGCCTTTGTGATACTAAATTAATTGGTGGATAATCAAATCAACACATTGAATTGCCACCGAATACGTGCAAGGTGTACAAAACTGTTCATCGTATTAATGCAGATAAACTACATTATGTCAGTCAATAAATTTATGCGATTCAAGAAAATTGTGTTAAAGTTAATCGAATTGATGGTCGCGTGGCTCTCTCTCTCTCTTCCTGTGTGTGAGGGAGAGAATTTTGCCACTTTTCCATCAATCTTTGTCATTGGCACGGGAAATTGACGAATATGGATTTCTCGTGGAAATCATTCGAAATGTTTCCAATTAACCTGTTCAACTGGATGCACCCTGTCGCTCAACCAATTTGATTGATTGGAAATAAAATATGAAAAATCAAAGATTGTTTACAAATAACAGCAAAAATGCTAGTATACATACTAGTACAGCGTGCACAGATAAAAAACACATACACACATTCCGCTTTCGATGGGGCTCCATTCATGTATACATTTTAATTAAACAACATCGATCGCAGCACAACATAGTCTGCATGTATGGAATTGTGCACAAATTTCCACTCTATATATACACCACTAATGAATCCTATGTGAATAACGACGAAAAACAATATTTACACTTAATATGGCACATCAAATACCTCAAATGAAATGTTAAATAGAAAATTTTGCACGGAACAGCAGCGACGGCGATGGCGACAGCAGCAGCAACAGCAATAATGTGTTTGAATTTGTGAGCCGTGCAAAGTGAGCACAACATTGTTTTATTCATTGTGCACGAGAGAGATAAACACAAA